GTTTTCTTATATAATACGTCATAATTTTTTTAAGTGCGTGTTATATACATGCATATGCGTGCTTGTTTCACACACATATATATTATAATACATATTTATGTATGTATGCGCTTAACTCCATATTGCTCTCACTTTCTTAGTATTAATATATATATATTAATGATATGTTGGTATTTTAAAATCATTAATTAGTAACTTTGGGTGTATATAATGCTACTATTTTTAAATATTTTCACGTGTATAAATTTAGTTACATAATATCATTTTTACATGATATGCATACTCACAAGAATAACTAGACTCAGTTCAAATAATTGGACTAAGGGTAATACCATTTCTTTTTAAGGTCGTTGCGAAGTGATAGTCTTAACTTATAAGAAAGTTGTTTCCGATAATTTTAAAATTAAAGTGTATCTCATTAAGTGAAACCCTAAAAATTGATCATGCTTAAAATTTGGGAATGAAAGAAAAAGAAATGTTCGTCTATTTAAAGTCTTCGAGAAAAATATCGTTAGAACTTATAACAGGTCCGATCTCAACGTCTTTAAATAATCGAACATCCTTCTTCTTTTTAAAAGGATTGGTAATCATTTAATATTATTTCTTTTGTTTTATTTTATTTTTTTGTCATTCATGCATTCGAATTAATATTGAATTTTAGAATGAAGTAGTAATATTTCTTTATTTTGATTGGAGTAACAGCTGACTACTTTAAGGCATGAGAGGTCTTTTCTTATCGATAGGAAATAATTAAATATTTCATTTTTCATCCTAAAATTCAAGGGTGTTATTTAAAGGGATCTCAAATTAATTTAAATTTGAACTTATGAATTTCATTGCAAAGATAACTAATTAATCGACTAGGTACCGATTTAGGGCATTGTGGGGTTGCTAACCCTTCCCCATGTGTAATCGACTCTCGAACTTAATTCTTTGGAACGTGGACCTAAAAATGTCATTTTTTGGCGTGTCCGATTAGGTAGTTCAGCAAACGAGTGAAGCAACAAGGGCGGTGGTGGAGGCCTCCACCACCCAGACATCGACACGATTTTTTGGGTTGAAACATCATGGTCGACTCCCTCCTTTCAACTAGGCTAAGCCACAACAAAACAACTTTGATAGTGTTCCTTTATTTGATTATCTTCTCCTTCACCATCTTTGGTCCCACTATTTTTTATTTTCATCGCATGTCTGTTACATGCTCTTCAAAGCATGTCATCTTTTCATCAATCCAACAAAGCAAGGAGAAGCGCAGATCCAAAAAGGCTCAAAGATGTGCATTTTACTAGAGATGGGGAAGACGTGATCAAAGTAAAAAATCAAGATATAAGTTTTATTCTGGGTGATGGATCTTTTCTCAACTTCTTTTGGGGGAATCAAGCTTCTTGGTTCGATAATTTCTGCTCATTCAAGGCAAACTCTTACTTAGTGTTCTATGGTTTGGGTTGTGTTCTTCAACAGGTCACTATGTCAGTTTTCTATGTGTTATTCAGCTGTTCAGTGTGTTAGTTTTCCGTGTGCTCTTTAGCAGTTCAGTTTGTTCTGGATCTTTATGGGGGTTGTTTCTTTCAATCCTTAAAGAAACAAGAAATATAGTTAATTCTGATGAAGCCAGATTGCTTCTGGATGTGCAGTGTGCTTCGGTGGTACCAGAGTAATGTTCTGTTATCATTAATGGTAGGGGTGTTCTTTCATAACTCTTTCGGTGGTTCATGAAGAAGAAAGAGTGTTCATTGGATGGCACTTTGGCTGGTGATGGAGCGGTGAATACAACAGTTGACGGTGATGAGAGGTTTCCTTGGTTGCAGTTGGTTTTTGTTGCAGTTGTTGGTTTCGGGGTTGTCTTTAATGTAGGAAGTTTCAATGTTACACGTAGTAAGAGGCGTGATGTTGGTGTTATGACATGCAGATTCCCGCATGTTAATCCTTTTGGTGGAATTAAGGTGGTTGTCGGGTGATTGGTAGCTCTTTCGATGCCTCAAGGATTTTTTATTGGTTTAGGGTGAGCATGGTATGGTAATAGAGTGGAACAAGGAGTGGAGAGTTAGGGGAAGTATGGGTGGTTTTTTTGTTTGTTGTAGTGCTAGCATGGCAAGCATGGGTGGTGCTCCCACTTTTGGCAAAAAGCTAAGTTATTTTATATGGTTTGATCCATGTTTAGTATGTGGGGTTTGTCCTGGTGTTTTATTAGTGCCATTAGGTTCTTACCTTTGGCTTTGATGTTTGTGTATGCTCTAAGTGTGTTCTCTATGTATATTGTCGGCTTGCCTGTGTTAGTTATATGTCGAATTGGGGCTTGTGGTAGGGCTGGGATTTGGTTTGAACCATGTAATAGTGTTATGTGTATTTGATCATGACCACCTTAAGGTACACTCTTTTTTCTCCATCTAGGATTAGGAAGGTTTTTTAATGTGGTCCTTGAGGTGGTGTACTTTGTTATCCTTCTTAATACAAAGTACCCTCTTCAAAAAAAATGTCGTTTTAATAAAATTCAAATTAATGCTTTATTAAAATGATGATCATTTTGGATGCCCAATCACACCCTAATCAAAGATTGGTGACGACTCCTCGAACCATTTTTCTATTTTATTTTAAAAGGAAACACCACATTATTCGAGACGAGATTTTTTAAACCACACTTAAAATAATTAAATTATTATTTAAAGAATTCGTTTCGAAAACTTTCTTTGCCATCTGTCCACTGTCCCTTTTCATGGACTCCCCCATTTTCACTACTATCTTCGGGCATGGGCCCTGGATGACTCATCTTTGGTTGGCTTGACTCGTGCAAACACACACCTTGACTCAGCTACAGCTTTGGCTTCCGAATAACTCTGGGCATCTCCTTGCTCACTGGCAGGCGTCGCCCCTGATCTAAGCCCTTCAATGAAGGTTTTGAGCACACCACTATCACTAATTGCATATTTGCACATGAGTAGCTCACTCTTGAGCCCATCCATCTCTTCTTCAAGGCCATCACCTTGACCCTGAGCGCTTTACTCATCTCTATCAAAGTCCAATCGTTGAGACTCCATTGTGCCACGTCCTTGAACCCTTCCCTCATGGACTCTAGTTGTTCAAGACAAGATTCCACAACTCCATGAACCTCTTTGGCTTTCTCAGCAAAGTTTTCAAGGTTCTTGATCCTCATCTCCAATGATTCTGGGATAACTCCCATACTTTGTTTCTCTAGCTCAACCCCATCACTGTGGCTCTCCACGCCATTCTCGGTAGGAACAACTCCTTTTTGTTGTTCCATCTCGATCACTTTCCACAAAACTTGTATGAAACACTCGTTGAATCCACAACGACTTCCTTCAACTCGTTATGATACTTCTTGTCACAAAACAAGTTCGGATCATTGTTGAATCCACAACACCTACACTCCGACTTGCTCTGTTACCACTTGTCACAAGGCTAAACTTCTACTAGTTGATTTGTGCAACACTTAGACGATTTCCAGGTCAAAATGGAACCTAAGTCAACCTTAACCACGTTCTTGTGAGTCTCTGGCTCACTAAGTGATGAACAAACCTGATAAGGTCAGGCAATAATGCGGAAGCAAAACACCATTGGGGCTAATCCAAACAAAACCAAGGTTGAACGGGTCTTAGAAGCACGAGCACTGTGGGGACTTCTTAAGTCTCCACGACTTGAATCGCATTGAAACTTCGAAGGAACTCGGAAAGGAACCACTATCGACGCTATCTTAGCCCTCACATTCGGCAAGAAGCCACAAAGGCTTCACACAAAGAGTGACAAGCCGACAAGGCTAGAAAGCTGGAAACAAATGAACTTAGAGAGAAAGTAAGAGTAAATGCTTGAGTTTATTACTCTAAAGGAATGGGAATTGATGGAATGATTACAAATGAGGGGAGGAGCTCTCTATTTATAGTTGAGACCCTCAAGATCCGACGTCTAGATCAAAGTACATCGACGACTTAGATTGAATCCTACCTTATCAATAACTCTATCTCTAAGGCATTTGAATTCAAATACAACATTTTCTCTAATTAAGTATTTATCCCCTTAATTATTAGATAATATTATCCTTTATGGAACCTTCCAAGGAACGAATCAAGTCTGATGGTTTTGGGCAAGCCCAACACTCCATACGATTCTCCTACAGTAATCTGCACACACATGTCTAGGTCTGAATCCACGAGCCTTGACAGAATTGCCCCCATCGAACGTCTAACACCCTCGTCGCTTCTCTCGGATGCCTCGGACTTGATCCTTCACGGACTCGTAAGTATTCTCCAAGAATTGGGCCAACTCATCATGCCCAACAAGTCCAAGTCTGCGCACATAGAACCTTTCTCGTGAACATTTGCGCCAATGTCCATGGACCTAAAAGTTTAGTCCTGACAATACGCATAAATAAACGATAAAATTCATTTTTTGAGGCAAAGGCTTAAAAAAGACAACACATGGAAAAAGTAACCCTAAAAACAAAAAGAAGAGAAAAACACAACTACTGGTTAGGGGGCTGAAGAGAGTATATTAAAGCAGAAGCAGTGAAGACAGGGTCAAGTGCGTGCAGTCACGCAGGCTCAAGCTGTCATTCGATATAACGAAGCCAATCCCCTACCCTCTCTCAATATCTCAATAGACAGCAAATTAACGTTTGCAACTGTCTGGTCTCTCTGTCTTTAAACTACTGTTTTCTTTCTTTCCCCTTCTGGCTTTCTCTTTTACTAACCAACTCATCAAATAATAACAACCGGCAACAACTTCTGTAACATCATAAACAAGGCTTCATCTCATTCTCTGACCCTCTTCAATGATTCCTTTGTGGTGAAATGAGAGCTTAAAAGAAGGGGAAATGGATATAGAGACAATCACAGTAGAGCAACAATAAGCAAGGGAAATGAGGTGGAATTGCACAAGATTCGGCTGTCTGATCCTTTCTTGTCAACTCTAATATGTGATCCATCCGAAACAAGTGTTTTCATGCAAAAGGAAAGTTACCCACTTGTTGTTTTGTTTGTTTAGATGCGATGGCTTCTGCAGATTATCGACCAGATTTTGGTGACACGACGTTTACCAAAGTGTTTGTTGGGGGACTAGCTTGGGAGACCCTGACCGACGAAATGCGTAGGTATTTTGAGCAGTTTGGAGAGATTCTTGAAACTGTTATCATCACTGATAAAAACACTGGAAAATCTAAAGGATATGGCTTTGTAAGTTATTTTATATATATATATATATATACTATGTTAATGGCTAAGTTTCTTGTGCAATGATGCCAATATCACAACATTCCCACTCGTGTAGGTTACTTTCCGTGATCCTGAGTCAGCTCGGAGGGCATGTGTTGAACCAAACCCTGTGATTGGTAGAAGAAGAGCAAACTGTAACATTGCTTCACTTGGAAGGTCTAGACCTTCACCGTCACGAGGTCCCCATACTCTTTGATATGTGCTGCACTTTTCCTTACTAATTCATTTTATGGGAAGTGAAAGAAAAAAACAGATGGTGACAATAATGAAATGGATATGATGGATTTCAATGCAGGAAGAAATCAAGGTAGCAGTCCTTTTCAGGGAGCTGCACAGCTAGGTGCACCGTCCTATAGTGGAGTTACAGCAGCAGTGCCTCCACAACCGCTTCCTCAGCTACCACCTGTCATGTATCCACCTTATGGGTGAGCATTCCCTATTGTTTTCAATCAAATCAACCTTTTATTTGTTCCGTGCTCTAGTTAGAGGAAGTGGTACATGCATACCATTTTTAACCTGGAAATTTTTGTGTTAGTATAATTACATTATGCTTAATTATGTGTGTTTCTCGATGCAGCAGGTATATCAGACAGTACATAGTAAAAATAATCATGCATGCATTTGACTATAAAATTTGTCGTCACTGGGATGAAAAATAAGGTAAAAGAATGCGAACCGTACAATACCAATGCAGTAAAAAAAAAGGCTAAAGGCGTTAGTTTCGCTAAACAAAAAAAACACGGGGTTGATGTATCCAATAATTTTCAACATGATAATAATCATTTGCTCAAATTTCTACTAAAAGTTGTTGATGAATTCCATCTTTCCAGGTACCCAACTTACAGTCCTGAATACGGGTATCACCAAGTAAGCAATGAAACCACTTTCTCTGTCGATTTCAAAAATTAATATCAATATATAAGTTGTTCAATATAAAGCAAGCAGTTCAGCCAACAATATTATATAAGGAATGTTATTGAAATGGAAATGCAGAGTCTCTACAATCCACAAATTCAGCAGGCACAATACCATCACCAACTGTATGGATCATCATCTTTCACAATGGGGTCACCATATTATTTTGGCTACTCTATGCAAGCTCCCAGGGGAACATTTTCTGCATCCCAGGCTCAACGTATCCCCGGACCGTCCTATCTTTTCTATCCTACACAAATGGAGGGGTCCTTCTCCAACTATCCTCCCCCACCCTTCCATCTCACTAGGCATCCCTTTCACTCTTCTGCAGGTAAATAGTTCTTGTCATTTTTTTACTACCAACATTATTTAGGCTCCATATTCATGATGATACACATTTCTTTTGAGTAAAAGAACGCACCTGAGTCAAATACTGATATGCCTTTTAGTATTTATTCTTGTTAAGTGGGAGTAATTTTTCTGTCATCTTCCTCTGATTCAAACATACAAATTCTGGCACAGATAAAATATAGTATTAGGGATTTAGTGTAGCATGCGCCAAAGTGGAAGGGGGTCACATGGGCAACCTCAAACATGTGAATGAGCTGTGTGGTTGTTGGCATGACCCGAATGATGGGTCAAATAGAAAGTCGTGACAGAGCATAGTGTAAACAAATAGTGTGCTTTCAGTATCAGGGATGATGCTTTTGATTGATTCTCATCATGCAGTCAAAGTGGAGAGCCCCACTTACCATGTTATTCACTGCCCACTGTTTTAACCATTTCTTATTTTTCCTACATGAAATTACATCAATTAGATTAACCAAATGTACAATGCTCCCAGTTCAATGTAATGTACAAAGACATAACATGGAAGCCAGGCTGGCAGAGGGGCCCTGTTTCTCAGTGAAACATCACATGTTAGGGCATTATTTTCTCTAACTATGGAAATATACATACTAGACTCCTGTATCTTTATCATTATTTTGCTGTTTTCACTTATATATATTATCATCATAAATTTTGTTACTGATTTTGATCTCAGATTCTCAGACTTCTCAGCCTCCCTCCACAGACACAGAAGCTGGGGCCATCACTTCTGAAAGTCCAAAAACCTGAAAGGGAAGGAGAACTCATCATCCCTGCCAAAATGATCAAACTATACAATCTTGACAAGTTTTTATGTTCTTCTTATCACCTTATTTAACTCTCATATCCTCAATGATTTAGCCATAGGTGAGTACTACTGCATCAACTTACTGCTGTGGCCTATGGCTGGAATGAGGAGGACTAATCAACCGCCTTATGCTGATCTTTTTCGCCTTATTCTATTTTTCTCTCAAGTGGTTCATTCATCAAGAGTTTTAGCATCCTTTACAGAACTACACTGTATGAACTTTGAACCAAAAAAAGGGAAGCACATTCCCTTAATAAAAAGGGGAAATTTGCTTAACAATTTAGCCTCAACATCTTGTGATTTTCTTCTGTGCATGGGGTTGATTCAAAAATCAGTAATTGACAAGATTTATACATTACATAAGAATGAGATTTTCATTTCTTTATTTTGTCTTATTATAACCATAATAATCAACACAAACTTTTACCACTTGATCTGCTAATCTAATTTGTATGGTTAGGACAGTAACATAAGAAGTTAATGACGGAATTCAATTTTTATGAATGTATTGCAAATATATTTATTACTGTAGTTAATAATAGTTATGAATACTGGGCTTTTTTATTTTAATATTTCTAATCTAGATGAACCTGAAAACCTTGTTTATATTTATTGCCCACCAAAAATCCCTATCAATATTTTTTTTTAATTCAACATGAGGAATGTTTGATCTTTACAACATTATTTGCTGCATATAACATGTTCCAAATTATTCATGCTCTGATTCTGTGATCTCGAAATTTTTATTTATTTATTGGTTAGAGGGTTAGGAATTATAAATTTTGTATATATATGTACAAAGATTAAATGAATTGAGAAAATGCTACAACAACGATTTATCAACATACAAAATAAAAAATTAAAGAGAATTTAGTTATAACCAGTCTTTTCAGGTTTGATGTCAATGTACAGAAAATGCATGTAAAGAAGTTGTGCTGTGTCTGTAACCTAATGGAGAGAGCAAAACTTGGTTTATGATTTGGTTTAGACCTTTATAAGACGAATCATTGGGGTTGCTGTTGGCCTCTTCCGCCATCTTCTTCGTCGCTTTGCCTTTTCCCCATTCCATTAACTCTATGACGAGTCCAGCAACTTAATCTCTCTTGACATTGCGGTTAGTTTCCATCAAATCATTGGAACACCGAACGATATACTTTCTCACCAACAGAAGGGTGGCTCAAAACTTGTACCTGCGGGCAGCAACTTGCCTGCAAGCCCGTCTTCGATCACAGTATAAAATCTGATGCTGAAATGCAGAGTTCCCAGTCCCCACATACTAAATCAGGCCTAATAACCCCAAAAATAAAATGATCGGTTGCTATTAGCCAACCCCCAAGCAAATTCAGTCAGCTGATCAGGTGTCATCACAGTGTTGGGATCTTTCGATTCGAGCCATTGAAGACACTTGGGGTCTTCTTTCCATAGATTTGACCCGAGTTGTTTCATCGTGGGCCTGATGACTTAATAGATTCAGTGGTTCAAGGGAGAAAACAGGAGCTAGCATTGAGGACAGTACACCTAAAACTTCACACTTCAGGTCCTCGAATGTATTCAAAATATTATGTCTACTTTAAAGTTTAACACTGCAATTTAGATCTTTTAATTCCGTCCTTCGATTACGGACATAAAAACAGGACTTAAAATAATCGAATTCCGCATATGCTAAAGGAATTGAGGTTTTCTTCAAATGCAGAGATTCAGCTCTTTTATGGAGTCCCAACCATTAACCCTTTGTTTCGTTTCCAAGATTTTGCAGAATCGTGTAATGCACTGCCTTAGTGCCGTGGACTGGAGTCCATGTTTTTATGCGGCAACTAGCAAGGCAATCATGCAGTACAAATTCATTTCGACCCCAAATTCTTCGTTGCGGTAGGTGTATCCTTTATCTAGTTGCCTGAAAATTTGTTAGATAATGAATCAGAAATAAACGACACGAGTTGTTATCTTATGAAATGAGTATGCATCATTATGGACACCATTAAACATCAATGAAATAGACACAGTAGAGATGCATATTCAGACCCTCTTGACCACCCGTCCCAAAAATAATTTAGTCTTTTATGGATGATATTTTGGGAAAGAAATTTAGATTAAGGGTCCGTATGTTTTACTCAAAATATTTTTTAGAAAATCGTTTTACTGTGTTTGAAAGAAATTTTTGTAAATCATTTTCCACTAGTTGATGATTTGTTTTTAAAAATTATTTATTATAAATATTAAATATAATAAATAATATTAATTATTATAAAAAATTAATATTATTAATTTTGAAATACCAAAATAATTTATTTATTATTATTGTTAAAATATTATTCTTATAATTTTGTATTAAGATAATATATTCTATTAAAATAAAAATATTATAAATTATATTAATTATTTATTAAAATAATAATATTATACTACATTTTGAAAATTATTAATGAATATATTTTAAGTATTTTTATTAAAATATTACTAGAAATATTATTTCTATAATTTTGTAAATAACAATATTAAGATAATATATTCTATTAAAATAAAAATATTATAAATTATATTAATTATTTATTAAAATAAGAATACTATATTACATTTTGAAATTATTAATGAATATATTTTAAGTATTTCTATTAAAAACATTACTAGATTATTATATTAAATACATAAATAATGTTATTCATTATTAATAATATTATTTTTATGAAATTAATAAATAATATAAATTTATTAATAATTTATTATATTATCAAAATAAAAATAATATAATTTATTATTATAATATAAATGAATATTATTCTAATATTAAAAATATAACATTTATTATTAAAAATATTAATAAATATATTGTAAATATTTTAATAATTAATGATTTTATTGTCAAGTCTAGTATGAGAGATTCACAAAATGATATTGTTTGATCGATGGATTTTACGCTTTATTCCGAGAGTGCAAAACATTTTAGGCCAATAAGCTAGCAAAAGAATATGTGTCTAGTAACGTGAAGAATACCAATGTTTGTTACCTTTAGTCAGGGCCGGTCCAATGAGTTTTAATTCCATGGGCGAGATAATAATTTTATGCCCCTATATTTGTACCGTATAATAGACAAAACATAAATAATTTTTTTAAAACAAAAATGTAATAGAAATTATAGTCAATTAAGAGATTCTATAGCTTCTTAAGGCTGCAATTATAGTTTATCGGTTAATATGAGGGAAAATGTTGTAGGAATATAGCTAGATTGAAGAAGAAAAAAATAGAAGAGCTTATGATAGAGTTTCCATAAAATGCCTTTGGTCATCGTTATGTTAGAATTATTACACAGCCTTATACATGAGCAAGTTTCAATTTGATTCATCTAGTGATTTATAATTTCCTTTAATTGGAACAAACGTGTGTTCTTTCGAAGCCGTAAATAGAATCTACGAGATCAAATGCTGCAAGCATCCCAGTGCTCTTGCAGTCTGTGTTGGGTATGTTTAAGGCATAAAGCACTTCGTTGTCATGGTCCATTTAGCTGATGGATTACTCGACTCTCTCAAGCCGATGCTTTGGTCATTTTTAGAATATTGGGCTTGAAAGTTGGGTTGCGAGAGCTTAGTTTTAACATACCCATAACCCTGTCGCAATAAAAGAAAGAAATGCTGAAATAGGACGAGCGGGTCGCCATTCCAATTTCCAACCAAATCGTAATTGGAGCTTATCTTTGCTTGGGGTTTGTTGTTTTAGCCAAAACAGAAGCAGATAGAGGAAGCAAAAAGATGGAGGACGGAGAGATAGATGTGGAAATGGTGGTGGAAGTGAGATCGCAGTCATCAGATATGCCGCGGAAGCCCGAGAAATCTCCTTACGATATGCTTAAAGAAACCAAATCCTCGGTTGAAGAGGTCGCTGCCAAAATCCTCTCATTCAAAAAGGAAAACAAACCAAAATCTGAACTCAGAGAACAAGTCACCCAAATTGATGCCCCCTCAAACATGCTGCCCTGGGCTAAGGCCCATCTGGCATATGTATTGGGTCGGGCATGCCTTTAGTTTAAGTGTTTTTTTGCTTGAGTGCCTCAACTTTGGATGCAGGTTAGCCGGTGATCATATGTTGTTATGAATTAATAATACAGTTGATTTTGGTTTACTTTCCAAATCAAGCGAGCAAAGGAGTAGAAGCTTTGTTTGCTTTTGGAAGACTAAGGAAATCTCAGTAAGGGGAGTGTTAAGTTTCAATTGGCTCTTGGTTGTATATGGTTGTTATATTGAATTGTTTGTGATTAGTTCTTTTGCAATAAATCCAAGACATTTTTAGGTGGTATCATATTGGTGTCTCATTTGATGATGAAATTTGTTAGTGTGTGAATATTTGTGTGAGTGACTTGAGTGTTGGTTACTTTTGTGTTTTAGTCATGTTTTTTAGAATTGTGTTACTTTGTTAAAAATTGGTTATCCGGTTGTCAATAATTGGGTGGTGAGGATTTTGCTTGGCATTTTGTATAAATACATTACCTCATGAATTAATAAAATTGAGCATTATTCATCGTAAAGAAAAATAGCACTAAAGATAACATGATATCATTGTTCAATAATCATGGGTACTCGTTCTTCTTGGCTGCGTGATGCCGACGACAGAGCAATCTTCTTCTAGTGGTGTTTTTGGTGGGTCGAGCTTGCTTGGCAGTGAGAGAATGTTTAGAAATAAAATAGTGAGTATTACTTTGGATGAGTTTAACTATTTACTATGGAAGCATCAAGTTCTTTTTACTGTGAGGAGTCATTAGCTGGATAACCTTCTTAACAGTGGCGTTCAACCTCTGGCTTGGACGGTTACTCTGGATGATGGTTTAGTTATAGACAATGATGAGTATGAGGTATTTATAGCTCAAGATACCCTGACCTCTTGTCTTCTGTCCACCGTGACTTTTGTATATGGTTGGAGCTACGATGATGGTGAAGATTTAAACTAAGATTACAGAGTTTTTTGCTAGCAAATCTCCTACCACCATCATGAATCTTCATCATAAGCTTAAGAATGTGAGGAAAGGTTATTTGGAGATGTTGTCTTACATCTCCCATGTTAAATAAATCTATGATACGCTTATCACCATATGGTACTTCGATGTCAGAGTCTGGGCAGATCATCACGATCCTAATTAATCTACTGATGAAATATCGGCCTCTTATTGTGGTCATCATCAAAAGCTGAGAACCTTTCTCCTTAGAAAATATGGTATCAGTGCTTGCCAATGTTGAGATACAACAATGAACTTTTGATGACTTTGATA